TGTGTGTGTGTGTGTGTGTGTGTGTGTGTGTGTGTGTGTGTGTGTGTATCCCCGCATGCACATGCATTTGCAAGGCTCTGTGAGTGCGTACATGCATGCAATTGTGATTACATTTGTGTGTATGTACATGCGCCATGCCATTATAACTTTCCCCCAATCTGCTGAGTGTCATGAAGGAGACTCCTCCAGCCTTTGGTATATTGCCACATATGTAATATTATTAATATGGCTCCCCCAAATGAGAGCAACCCTGCATGCATAATTTATGCTATACTCTTGCTCAGAAAGAGCTGTCTAGACGCTATAGTATGAATGCAGCATCCACGGTACAAGTGGAAGCTGAAAGTTTGCACAAAAACTATAAAACTCTCTCTTTTCTGAACCTCATCCAATTCCATTCTCACTCCCTGTTTTTCCATCAGTGTGATAAATGCCAGATTATTCCACCAGGAGATGAGATTTTCCTTCCCTCTCTTTCTCTCTGTCCATCTTCCTCTTCTGCGTTTCCTCTGCATCCTCACTTAACCCTCCTCTCCCCTCATGCTCTGCCTCCCCCTTTTCCCTTCTCCTCCGTCTTCTTTTGCTTCATCCATCATCCAGCTTTGGATTTTGTTTTAATTCATTTCACTGTTTTGTGTCTCTCCCCCTGAGCAACATCGCCAAAACCAGCCACCACTATTAAACCTCCCTGTATATTTGGATCCCAGCCGATATACTGTTGACTCAAAGCGATCAGCGCCATTAAAATTCATGACTGCACCACATTCAGTGTTGTTGTTTTTTTTACTCTCTTTTACTTCTTTCTTCTGAACAGGAGAAGAAGAACATTGGAGGTAGAGAAGGAGTAGGTGCTAGGATAGAGGTGTGGGGGGTTCTCTTTTGGCATTGATGTGAGGTGGGAGGGGGGGAGAAGAAGAGGAGGAGGAGGCTGAGGAGAAGTGGATGAATAAGGGGGATGTTTACTTTGGAGGTCAGCCCTGCTGTGTCCACCTGAAAATTGGTTTTGTTGGGTAAGAGCCGAGAGAGAGAAAGAGAAAGAAGGAGGGAAGTGGAAGAAAGAGGGAGAGAGCGAAATAGTGAAATAGCAGAAATGAGATAAATAGATTGCACGAAGGACATGACAACTGAATGAGAGAAATAATAGAAAGACAGAGAGAGAGAGAGGGAGGGGAGGCGGAAGGGGGAGGTAGAGAGAGGGCGGGGGGGATAGTTGTCATTAAATCCCCCTTCTCAAATCAGAACTGAGATTCAGAGGCCACTTTATCTGGACGGACAGACGGTCCTACAGTGTG